GTCTGTATACTGTCAACATAACACTTCATCGAAGATTGTTGATCGCTCTTCACACACCCCACACCATGACTAGTTCGGAATTTCATCACCTGGTGGTAAGGGGAAGGAACAGCCCTGGCAGCATTCAGTAGGGGTCGACTATAGATTGCATTATATGCAATTGGGGTCTTGTCAATCGAAAAGTTCGTCAAGATCACCACGTTTGCGGAGTATGTGCCCAATGTCATTAGAAGTTCCACAGCTCCCCTGGTATTACAATGGCCTCTCCAAATCCTTGGAGGGTGATGGGTACTGCTTTCAATCTTTCCAAAGGGATTTTCAATCCCACAAATGCTTTCCAGGTGAGAATGTTCGCTGCGCTATCGCCATCAGCTAGCACCCTTTTAACATCGTAATTATCTATGTCGTCGACGATCACCAAAGCATCATCATGGGGAGATTAATCCTATTTTTTATGAACTAAAAATATTGAAAAGGTGAAACTTTTGATGTATAGAAACCATCTAATATAAAATTGCAAATAAATTTATTTCATTCCTTAATTTTAATGTTCAAATTGGATGGGGAAAAAAAACACAACGCTTTTCTTTTCACCTAACTTTTAAATAGTTTGTCCAACTGAATGATGACTCTACTTGAAAGCTTTCACAAAGCTTTGCCTGCCGCAATGCATATATCAAACCGCAAGATAGAAAAAAGTAACAATATCAGTATAACGCCCTGCAATTTTATGGAATGAAATTATTTGTTGATAATGATTTTGATCTATATGTCTTTTTATTATTTTGAAAAGTTGAGGAATTAAAGTTAAATAGTATCAATTTCAATTCTATTGGACCAAATAATTAGATTTTGATATAGCGAGTTTTAGCATATCAATATTGTACAAGTTTTGTAGTTCGTATTAAATAATGTACAATTGACTCGAGAAAAAATTAATTATGATAAGTTAGATCCAAGATATGAAAACTTAAAGAAAACTTTAATTAGTAATTAATTTAAGTTTTTTTAGAATTCAATGTAGACCTGCTAAGGTTGAATAACGAAATCGCCATCCGTAAAACAAATCGAACCGAAACCCTTTTTTTTGATATTGTTGGTTTGATTCCACGTGAATTTGTCAACATTTTTATTTTAAACTAAACCAAACCGCTTCGAAATGTTTGATTTAAGTTTCATTCTTTGCAAACCGTTAAAAAAAAAAAACAAATCTGAAAATAAATTAATCTAAATTTTATTTAACCCAATTAAAACTAAACATTTCAGTTAAAAATATACATTCATATTAAATATAATTCAATTAAACTCAATTTGACAACCATCCATCTCAATTAATTAATTAAATCATATTCAAATATTCACCAATCATCACAACTGCAAAGGTAAAACCCTCAAATTGGGTAAATTGTTGAACACGTGCTGCTAAACCTTATTCATTGATCCTCCATTACGATTGAGCAGACAGTTACATTTAGATTTTAATTCAAAATTGCACATTTCATTTCCTCATGCTAATAATTTTCTCAAACTTTGCATATATTCAAGTTAGATTGACTAATTTTTTTTTATTTTTTGGTAATTTTTTCTATAGTTCGGTAGTTATGTTGTTTTGTTCAAAACATTGTCGGGCTTCCTTAAAGTAATTCGTCAATATTTAGATGGAGTAAAAATATTGGACGATTCATAAAAAGTTAATGTAGCTAGATATTATCGTATTTTTTATTCATTTTCTTTTATTAGTTATTTTATGTCATTTAATTATAATCATTGAGTCCATATACTATATTTTTATATTTATGGAAAGAATGAATCGTGTATTACAATTGCAAATGGACGCCATAAGTATCTACTAAGAGTTTAAAATATTTACTTCATATAGTTGCATTATAATTATTATAATTATATAACTTTTGATTTGTAATTTTATAATGATACAATTTATGTTTTAACATGAAATTTTAGAATAATATTTATGATTTAATTTATTTGATATATATTATTTTTTTATTTGTTAAATCGTGGTTTAAAACGAACAAAACCGAAAAAAAAAAAATAGTTTGAATTGGTTTGGTTTAGAAATCGAAGTGGCTTGGTTTGATTTGGAAAAATTCCAAACCGCTTTAAGTGGTTCGTGCAAGTGGTTTGTTTTCGTATACATTTCCTCATTAGATCAAATGAATTTTTAAAAGAAATATGAATTTATGTTCCAAATCATTTTCTTAAATCTTTCTGCCACCGCGTTCAATTTGTGTGTACTATTTATCTTTGTGTTGAATAATAGGACCTCTTGCATGATATCTATAGTTGAAAATAATTGAGTTTCGAAACAATTGAAATAGTGGAGCCATATTCCATTAAAATTGGACAGAGTAGGTTTTAATATGCTGGTATAGTTTAACTATCAAATCATAATTATCAATTTGAGTCATAGGACACACACGTGGACCTATTTTTTAATTGTTTTCATTGAATTGGATTATTAATATAAGAATTGAAAGAACAAAAAGTGGTGTTTAATCAAATTATGACAATGTAGGATTATAATTAACAATGAGCCCTTATCTACACTAATCATGGATCTCACCAAAAAAAACCTAAATCATAAGCAATTTTAAAGAAATTACGAATTAAAATAACTTCTTTGGACATCAATATCGTGAGCTTAACTTATCCGAATTGACTTTTCTTCAAGCCTAAAATTCACGATTTAATATGATCTATTCAAAAAGCTCAATATTGATATATTAAATCTCNAAAAATTGTAATTGGATTTCGACTTGAAGTTCTAACAAATCCAGGCAAAATTGTGGAAGACCCATGGATAGAATAGCTTCTCCATGATGAGAAGGTGCTGAATGGAGTGGTCCACGACCATGGGTCAAAGGGACGACGCCGAAATCGGCCAAGTTTAGTGCGCAGCGCTATAGTCGCGACTGCGTTATTTTCAGTTTCAAATTGAACCGATTGGATAAGTGTTTTGGATGAATTGCCACATGGCTGAGGTAATCTGGGGGTGGGCAACCGGATGGTGGTGGTTTGCAATCCTATTGCTGGCCGAAGGTGCGACTTCTAGCAATATGTCCATTTTTCGATTAGCTGATTTTGCTTGCTGGTTTCTGTCGGATTGTTGGTTGATATGGAGAATTCTTAGGATGTATAGGATGTTGAGGAGATTGTGTTGGTACCAATGTTCGGAAGTTGTGGCGGTAGAGAAGAGTAGATGTGGTCATCACACGTGGAGGTGGTGGAGGGAGGTGGAGGAGAAGAGAGAGTGTGTTTTGTTATTTTTAATATTTTCATAAGTTTTGGATTTATTTGCATTTTGAAAAATGTTTAGGAACATATTGCAATTCTTTTCTTTTCTTTTTTATTTTATTTATATAGGAGGGTATATTGATAGTTTTTGTTAAAAATTGGTTAAAATGACGTTTAGCGCAAAGAATGTGAAAGGTAGGGACGTTCTGTACCAAAAAACAAAAAGTAAGAACGTTTTTCTCAAAAACCTTCAAAGGTAGGGACGTTTTGTGCTAATTACTCATATAAAAAATGTTCCTATTTGTTTCCGTTGATAATTTTTTAAATCAGTTCGTAAACAGCTACATAATGCTATAAAGATTCATGTCTACAAAGTTCAAATTTGATTTCTAACGCATTCTAGAGATTGCTATCTCTTTGTCTTTTATTTTCTTGGATAACAAAATCACAATATTTGTGCATATGAAATATAAATGATACCGAGTTAATATGTCTAACAGAGTTTTTGAATTTAGAGGGAACTCTAGAAAATATCTATTATTTGCCACATCATCTTGATGAAAATCATTCGAAAGGACAAATTGCATTCATCAAGTGGAGCTCGGCTACTTGAGCAGGGCCTACGTGGCCCTGTTCAAGTAGAATTTTCGTTAAGTGAAATGGTAAGGACATTTATATCAAGATTTGAAGGTTAGGGACATTGCACAAAACTCCATTGGTTAAGGACCATTTGCACCTATTATTTTACGGTCTTGCTACTTGTACATCACATTATACATCGGGGTGTACACTCCCTCACATAAGGGTAGGACCCGCTTAGATTAAAAAATAATTTATGCAATGGGTCCCACACCCCATGTGAGAGGGGTGTAGCCCCTTATGTACAATTTGTGATGTACAAGTAGTATTTTTGATTATTTTAATGGTAAAAATATTCAACTGGGCTTGTTTTCAGGTTTATTTTATCAAATTCTCTTTCACCTCTAGGGTGTCTGGCTTTCCTTTTGTCTTCGTCTAGTGATTTGTCTTGGAATATTATCTACATTAGAGAAAGTAGAATAATTTAGGTTGCTGAAAATTTTATTGTCATGCCTGATAACGTAAATTAGAAAATACTGAACCGTGTAAAAGAGAAAAGTAAGTCATTGTATTATTTGTATCGAATATTATGCCCTGTTTAGCCTCCATTTTTTAGAACTTATTTTTTCTAATATTTATTTTTAATCACATAATGTATACAATTCACAACTTTTATCAATTTTTCAATTATAAATTTCATCAGCTTTTATTGAAATCTTAAAAAAAAATCTTAATTTGGCATTTGTATTTGCTCATAAAAGTAATGCTTAATTAATATGTTAAACTCCATTAGACTAAGCTCTTGTTTGACTTGGATTAAAATCCAATTAAAATTTCGAGTCAAAGTCAACAATTAATTTTCACCACACATTTCATGGAATCCAGAATTTTTCAACTACATATTTCATCAACTTTTATCAAAATTTACTAAAAATTTGATTTTAATCTCTATTAAGAGAGGTTAAATATAACAATGTACTATTTTACGAACCTTTTTCGTTCATCGATCATCTAGTCCAACTTTACAACAACGAGGTAATGAAAACACAAAAGTTCAAAATGGCAAATATTATTAATCTAAAACCTCAAACAAGAACATAGCGAGAAAGTAATTCCCTACAAATTAAGGTAAGAACATAAAAAGAGGCCCTCACAGTGAGAGGAAATTATTTAGATCTGGAGCTACAATGTGGATGAATTGCAGTTCTATTTAGTGGTAAATGGAGTTGGCAATTCAAATTCAACCAGAACTTTATCGAACCCAATAACCCTACTCTCCATCGAGTTCTTGCATTACCTTTGAGCTCAAAAGTTATCACATTTTGCCTCAATGACCAGTTCATTATCTCTGCGTACTCTGGTTCTAATGGAATTGGCGACGATTGAACGACGTAATTGAATTCTTTGGAGCTATTTTTTCTTATATCGAATGGTTCAGCAACCAAATAAGCCATTTTAACGCCATGAAAACTGAGTGCAAATTTTGTGCCGAAAAAACTTGCATGAGCCTTTGCATTGCCGTTTTCTGCTTTTACTACAATGGTAACTTGCACTGTAAGTAAACTTGTTTGGTCGAAATAGATCGTGTTGAGTTGAGCCGTTGAGACGCTAATTTGAGGAACCCTGGGACGGATCACGAGGTAGCCAATGAAGACGACTAAACCGGCGATGATTACCGCCACCGTCAGTATAGTGCAGATGATGGCGGCGCACCAGATTATGGGGCTGGTTTTGCGGCGGCGGTAACCGTGTATTAGCTTTGGCATTGGAAATTGGTGGTGGCAACATCTAGAAAAAAGTTGCGATTTAGAGTGTAGAAAAGGAGTTAAATAATTGGTTTGTAGTTGCAATCGGTTGGGAAGGGTTTGGTATCTTCCTTTCCTAGGTATAAAGCGATGCCAATTAATCTTCCATTGCATATATGTTTTTAGGAATATTGACATGGGAATGCCAAACTTGCACTCAAATGTGTAAAGGATGTATTTTGCCTTTTCCAACTTTCTGTTCATATTTAGGTTGTGACTCAAACCCTTTTTTATTAGAAAGATGAGGTCCCTGTCTTCTCATACAATAGCATGTTTGGAAAATAAGTGAATTTATTATAAGTTTGTGACTCATAAATTGTGTAGACCAAAATGCAGATAATTACGAGTCACACAATATATATGTGCTAGCCCCATTTGATAAAAAAATTAATGTAAGTTAATAATTAATTTTAATTACGCATTTTCATGGAATTCACAAATTTTATCAATTTTTCAATAAAATATTTTATGAACTTTTTATGAAAATTTATTAAAAATCTAATTTGTAACAAAATCAAACAGGAAATGTGACAAACAAATTGCTCAGGACTTAGGGGAGTTTAGTCAACACTAGAAAGTTGGGACATAAGAAAGCCAGTGTATATAAAGAATGAAGGGTTTGTCCATTCTGCCAGGCTCGTGGCAGTGCCAACTTTTCTTCCCTCACCTGTCATAGGGGACCAGCTGACCCCCCGCACTGTCAGGGATGGGCCCTGACAATTTAGCATGGTCCGAGAATGAATGTTTTGATGAGAATATAATCATTTAAGATTAATTTCAGAAAATCAGTCAAATCAGTTATTGTTTTAACGACATTTTAACATAATTCAATTAGCTGAATCACAGCTCGCGACATACTTGTAAGTTGAAACAGAATGGCCAGTGAGATTTTTTTCCCCCTGCTTTTGGATGATAGGATTTGGATCCTATATGGTGCCGTGTGTTAAGGCACAAGATGTCAATTCTAAATATTGCGCAAAAGAATAGGTCATACAACTTTTCATTTTATGTTTCCGATTTATTCTGATATCTTTACTGTAATCCACAAGATGTCAATCCCATATATTGTTTGAGCTGAAGAATATGTCATACAACTTTTATTTTTTTATTTTGATTTATGCCAATAGTTTGGTTGTAATCTTGCTTTCACAATTGTAAAGCTACTATATATGTATGATGTGATAAACACTGTTTTGGTATCTTGCCAAAATAACTTTCAGTGTCTGTTTATCTTACATGGTATTAGAGCCTAGCGCTTACGCTTAGCAATCTTGCTTCCACTTTATAACATGGCTAAGTTTGGTTCTTCCTTCTCATCCAGTTTGCTTTTCCTAATCCCAATTAACTTGTCTCCGTCGAACTCAGTGGCGGACCCAGCACCCGGCGAGGGGGGGCGGCCGCCCGTGCTGGGCTCCGCCGGAGCAGTGCACAGTGGTGAGGAGGAAGAAGAAGACCGGCGCGCGGGAGCAGTGGCGAAGTGAA